TTTTCTCTGGCCAGAAGTTCGATGGCAAATCCTCCCTCTTCAAGTTGGCAATCCAACGACCAACCCATCCGCGGAGGATCAGGAATCAGAAAGGTGAAATAACTCATTTTTTTAAATTTTACCCGATGTATTCCAGCATCCAGCTGCCATGCACGTGGGCAGTGTCAATTGTTTAACTATAGCTCTGGTGAATTTCAATGGTGAAGTTCTCTGGGAATCTTCAATAATTGTTGTTGATTGTCAAAAATGCCCGGACTCAGTGCTTGTGATGAAAATTATTGTTTTTATTTTTTTCAATGATTTACACTAAATTTATTAAATCACTACGAAGTAGAAGTTTTAGAAATGGATCATGAGCCATTGGTTATTCCTTGATGACCGGACTTTTCCTTTAAAAAAAAAGCCGTCCAAGTTTGGACCTGCTTCTTATACTTCTCTCTGTGAAGGAACTCATCTGTGTGCTTTGCTCCCAAGGAAACAGATGAGCTCTTGGATTTTATTCCAGGTTCAGCCTATCTGGAAGCATTATTCCAGTAACCTACCCCCCAACTGCATACTAACCCCTTATTATTTTAGAGCTCTTGTGATTATCAAGTTTCTGAACCATTTTGTAGCAGATCCCAAAATCATCTTTTCACAATTGTAATAAAATTCTTAAACCCTTTCTGAGTCTCCTGTTAGATGTTCATGCATGTGGATCAGACAGCTTACTAAAACCATTACAATTCTAATAGACAGATTCCATTTTACAAGGTACAAAATGGCAAAAATCTATCAGGGAGATGAACAGAATTGCCCTAGATGTAAACAAGTGCCAGCTAACACATCTCATATATTCCAGTCTTGCCCCAGACTCAAGCAATTGTGTCAAAGTCTTAAAACCTTATAAGAAAAACATTGAATCTGTCCCTCTGATAGCCATTTTTTGTGTGACACCAGAAGAAACACAATTAACGACTGCTCAAAGGAAAGCAATGGTATTTTCTTCATTGTTGGCCAGGAGACTGATCTTATTTAATTGGATAAAGGCAGCACCGTCAACTCACAAACGATAGCTAGAGGAGGTGATGGCACATCTTAAATTGGAACATCTTAGATTTACTTTACAGGGCAATACTAAGAGATATTTCAAGGTCAGTCAGTGTTTTCTTTCCTATTTTGAATCTGAATTTCCATTTTCTCTTTTCCATAATTATTATCAGGGTGTTCATTATTGTCATTGAAATATATGTATTTGGTTTCAACCTAAGAGAGTCTGGAACAGTGGTAGAATCTGTTTTGTTGCTAGTTTGTCTGTTTTTGACTTGTTTTTGTGATGCAAATTTTGAACCTACTATTTTGTTCTGTATGTTTTGGATGGGATGTCTGTTGTTTGAATATGAAAAATCAATAAAAACTTTGATTATTATTAATATTTTGATAGATTCCTGACTCTTTTCTTGCTTCTTGATTCAATGATTGTAAATAAATAACATATCTGAAGAATAATCATGTGTTACTTAGTGTTTATCTTATTGCATTTTGGGATCTGTCTCATGTAATCCATTTAAGTGGGTTATCTAGCCTAAAGTAAACAGTGTTCCATTTTTGTTTTAAACAAATATTTCTGCAAAACATCTGGAAATGGAAAGCAGATCATGTATTTCTTCAAAAGGCGTTATTATTTATATAATTGGCGTTTAAACAGACGTGGTTATTCTCTTATAGGCAAACCTGCTCTGTTTGGTTAGATAATCACGCGCGCGTTACCACGTGAGAGCTATAAATGTAATTTTCTGTTTTAACCCTCCTACGTGACGAAGTAGCAGCAATGATGATCTTTCCCCTTTTGTCAAAAGGAAAGAAGATTACTACTTTATCGTCTAGTTGTTTGGATTTGAGGCGCACTCAAAGAGATCCGCTCGTCCTGCCCAGTGCGCGCTCCCGACGCAGAGGGGAATCAAACCCTGCCGGGGATAAAACCGCCTGGCGCGGCGCGCAAAGCTCACGGTCCGCTGCCGCTCATCGGTGAACTGCCACGGCGCGTTTTGTGCTCAAGAAGAGTTCCACGGAGATCTTATCACGTCATCCACGCACTTTTCATTTCAGTTCAACAGAGAAAACAGGCAGCCAAAGGGAGGACTCTAAAGTTACCGCGGAATGACAGCTGAGCGATGAACAGAGGGTAAGTTATAAAGCCAAACCTTTACTTTTGGACAGTTTTACTCTTTGCTTTAAATCATGCTTTCTTTTATTCAGTTTATGTTTTTTTTACTAATTGAGAGAAAAGATAAAGAATATATTGTATTTGTTTTGGCAGATAGTTTGTACTGTATAAAACAGAAACATCAGATCACATAATAGACCAAACATGTAGTTGTTTTATTTTTAAATAGAAACTCTCAACGATTAAATAAGGTTAAGAGTCTCTGTACTTTAAGCTGATTAATTATTATATATTTTTTGTTATTTGTAAAGACTGAGAAGAAATACATTTTGTAATGCAGCTGTAAAGGACAAAAAGTGCTATACCTTTTTTTCTTCATATGGAAATACTCTGTATCAACAGAATATTTACTAACAGGTTGGCTTTATGCCATCTGTCTCCATGTTTAATGTTTTGCTGCGCAGCTGGCTGTAATACCTTAAAAGATGATTAGTCACAGTTTGTCAGTTTGGTTGCTGTTTTTAAGGTTTATTAAACATTTAATAATATTTGGCTTCAAAAATGCTTCTATTTTCCATCGCTAATGATTCTTACGGAAAAAGTGCCAGACTCAGGGGAATTTCCTCCAGCTGTGTGACGGCTATGGTGCACCAGAGGATAAAGTCAAGCAGTGTTCCTGTTCACACACCCTGTCATTATGCACTGCTGGTCAGATGGCTGAAAGAAGGGATCTGCATGTTTTGGATTCATGTTTGAAAGATTTAGTTGTTTGGAAATATAAATACATTAAAGTAAAGATGGCAGATGGTGGGTTGTTGTGTATTTAACTTAAACTGTCTCCTGTCTCAATTCATCATAATGCCAAATCCTTATTCCACTCATGAAAAAGGTCATATTACAGGCATGTGGGAGTTATGTCCTAATTTAGCTAATTTGCGTGATGAATGCTTTAATGCATGTCAGTCGTGTGCACTACTTAATTTGCATCTGCCTGGCAGGAAAAAACTAGGCTACTTAAAATAAAACTGTAATAGCTTACTGTAAGATATAAAGCTAAAGTCGACCAGTTACAAGTGACACATCTGATGGACTTGTTTTTCTTTTGCAACCTCTGGAGATTATTTCACAAAGAAGATTTCTTCTTAAAATGAAGAATATTATGGACAACAGTGAGCGTCCTCTTCAGAAGATTTTTTAAACAACAAGAAGGTGTCTCCAGTAAGATGCTTCTCCGGATGCAGTGAAAGACAGACCGATACAGAAGATCCTTCCTGCATACAGCTATCAACAACTGTAAAAACTCTCTGAAAAGAGAATTACTGCAGCAATAAATTCCCCTTTGGGATTAATAAAATATTTTTGAATTTAATTGAATTTTAACTGTCTTTACAACAGCCGTTAACTTCCAGAACTTTATTGATTTTTTTTTGTTGAATGTCGATATTATACAATCACTATTACAGCGGGTTGCATAACCACACAGTCATGTAATTCGGTGAATAACTAAATAAATGTTTTTTTAATATCAGCAATCCAAATTTGAGAACGAACCGAATGAGGCTCGATCGACCTCGGTTCGAAAAACATTGATTCTGAATCATTGGGATGGGATTCTAATTGATGTTTGACATTTTAATTGATACTAGGGAACTAACAATTGTTTTGCAAATAGATTAATCTGTCGATTATTTTTTCGATTAATCAATTAATAATCAGATAGCCAGAGGTTCCTTAAAGAAAATTTAAATAAACCAGGTGAAACTAAAACTTTTGCACATGAGGAGTTTTGGATAGAGCATATTGATAGAGGAAAACATTTTGTTTTTTTTTTAATCTTAAATGCAAAATTATATTTTATTTACAATTTTGATATAATTACTATTCTAAGTGGGTCTAAGCTAAAGGCATGTTTTAGAGTTTCTATACTCCAGTTAACGATTAATCGATTCCTAAATTAGTTGACAATTATTTCAATGATTGATTAGTCATGATTAATCCAATACATACCCAATCATCCAAACAGGTTTTAGGAATGTACATTTCTAGCTATATTACAAAAAGAAACTAGAGATTAGTATAAAGTCAGAAAAGAAATTCAGAAAAACAGTAAATAGTTTTAATCAGACAAATTCCATCCTGAAAGCAAATATTAACTGCATTAAACTGACTGGATTTTAAAAGTCAAAGATGTCATAAAGGGAAAATCTTTCCTGTTCACAAAACTTTTAACCTAACTTGAATTCATTATTTATTATGCCAATTCAATTCAGTTTATTTCTATAGCGCAAATTCACAACACACGTCATCTTAAGGCAGTTTACAGTTCACCAGATCATACAGTGAAATTGTTTCAAAGTTTTCTATCTAAGGAAAACCAGTTGATTGCATCGACTCATTGACTCTTCAGCAATCCCTCACACTAAGCGATGCTTGTAGCAACAGTGGAGAGGAAAAACTCCCATCCAGGAAACACACAGCCAGGCAGATGAGCTCTCATGTCAGAGGATGAAGAGAGAACAGTCACAGTCAGAGAAACAGGACTACACTGAAAAACAGGCCGATCTCCAACATCTATAAACAAAGGTGTTGATGGCAGCAGAACAGCTGATATTTCTCTCCAGGATGGAGTCAAAGCCAAACAGGAACAGACCAGATGAAGCTACTATGAGAAAAAGCAGAGAGAGCAGAACGTTAGAGATTGAACTAATAGATTCTGCAGAGTGGGAGAATAAAGATAGAATGAAACAGAATGATGAAATAGGGGTCCCTATGTCCTCCAGCAGACTAAGCCTATAGCAGTATAAGTATAGAGATAGCTCAGGATAACCTGAGCCACTCTAACTATAAGCTTTATCAAACAGGAAAGTTTTTGCCAGTTTGCCCGATATCATTCTGGAATTTTCTCCAATATCCGGACATATGCAGATGTTGAAATCTGATCAGTGTATCAGGACTGCAGAAAACCAACCCGAGCTGGAAGCCCAACTAATAACACTCCAGATATAGGTTAATACTGCCATCAGCAGGTGATAGTAGGTGAAAATAAATGTTTAGGGTCAGCTTGTACATATCAGATGTTTTTTATAAGCAGGAGCGTTACAGAACTCCACAAAGGTCCTGTAACAGAGAACCTTTGAGAAGAGCAGAAAATGCATTATCAACGCTGTAAAGGGGCTCTAAGAGCTAACAGAGGCTCCTTTCAAAAAAAGAGTATTTAGAAGAATGGAGTCTGTTGCCTAAACCTTTCACATGAGATCCATATGATGAGATAACCCTTTAAAACTTCTAGATATTACTGATCACATTGAAGTGTTTGAATCCACCGGAATGATTTAGGGTGAGGCTGATAGGTGATACCTTCAGTTGAAGCACCATGTTTTTAAGTTGTTTCTCCGTACGGTGCTATGGAGATTTAGGGAGTGAATTCCATTTCATTATTTCATTTCAAGGAAAGAAAATATTTTCAAATGGAAATTGTGGAATACAGAAATGAAACCTCGAAAAAGGTTTTAATTAAAAAGATTTTGAGAGAGCTTTGCAGTTTTTTTCAGATTCTGTTTTTCCAATTTCAATTTTAGTTCTACAAATTGCATTTTTTCCAAATTTTATATTTTCAATTGCTCTTTTTACATATTTCATAGTTTCCATTTTTCATATTTCTGTTTTCAAATTGTGCTTTAAAAATTGCATTATTTTCAAAATGGGTACTACAGATCACATTCTCTCCCCTGGGGCTGGCTTTCATCTGGAGTGATGAGTTCCATTCCTATTGGTCTGCAAGAACGACAGCACCATTTTCATTGTTCAGTGGGCGCGTCCAGAGAGCACATGATTGTATGGGGCTTGAAGTGAAGAGAATGTGATCTGTAAAAGCAATTTGAAAAAAGTAAATTAATGAAAAATGTAAAATCTGTGTAAAGATAAAAATATATATATATATAATAAAAAAAATTACGAGAATAAAGTCGTGATTTACGGGAAATTAAGTCCTAAAATTGCGAGAAACAAGTTGTATATTATGACAACTCTTACAAGAAGCACTGTCTTTCCTAAAATGAGGAATGTTGAGCATCATGTAAAGTTATACTTTGCCTCTGGTTTCATAAATAATGAAATCTTTAAGCACACCAGCATCAAATTGGGGAAAGGATGTCAAAGTGGACTCAGGTTGCTGTTTGGTGGAGCTGGTCGGCCGTCATCTGTTGGTCGGAGCTCAAAGCTTTCTTTCTGGCACAGGTTGTTGTATGAAGACTTAATTTTCATAAATTTATTCTCGTAATATAAAAACTTTATTCTTTTAATGTTACGACTTTATTTAAAAATAATAATAATCTCTTATCTGGCCCTAATACTCCATCATAAGATGCTTGCAACAATAATGCAATAAAATTTCACTCCATAGAGTTTTACTGATAGTGGTAGCAAAAATGGAGGTAATACAGAACAAAGTGAACCTTCCTAGATGTAGTGATCCATCCTGTGACAGCTATGTGTTAACCTGAGAGGTGTTCCTGATTGAGGCTTAGTTCTTCAGCTGGAATCAAAAGTAATTAAGCTTTTAAAAACACTTGAAGTTGAAGTATTTTGTTTTTATATGGCATTTTTTTATGATTATGTGCTTTAGAAGTCTATGTAAGCACTGAACAATACATTTGATTGTATATGCAGATCAGATGTTTAGTCCATCTAATAAACACAACCTGCAGTATGTGCTTCTTTGTAATCGGGAGCAAGACTGCATGGCCAAAATAATCATCAACTGGGATTAGGTAAGCAGATAGGTAAGAGTGTCCCAATGGAAATGTACTGCAGTGATTTCATAAATGCCAGCTGTCAACAAGGTGTTTAGCCCTTATGCATACTAAGGTAGTGAGCTTCCTCTCTAAGCCTTAACCTGTGCAAGGAACATTCTTATATTTTTGGAGGATGCAAGGATAAACACAGCTTTCATTTTTAAACAGTCAGTGTATTGACAGTTATTGTATTGTAGCGGTTATTAAGAAATGTTCTTAGGGCTT